GAGACAGCTTCTGAATTCTCAGAATTGTTACAAACCTGCAGAGCCAGGCCCTGTCCTTGCAGCCCCCACCCTAAGGGAAGGCCCCCAAATCCAAGTTCCCCAATGGGGTTCTCAGGTCTGGTTGGCTGCCCAGAGCACAACCCCACAGAGCAGACATCTTCCCCAAAGGTGGAGCTGGGAGGCCTACCGGCACAGATCGCAGCGATGAGGCCCTTCCGGCTGTCCTGATCCTTCAAGACGTCTCTCACGAGGGGAGACTGCAGGAACAGAGAGGGGATCCAAAAAAGATGGGGGTCATTTTAACACAACTCCTTCTGAAATAAAGTATTACTAGAAGGCTTACTTAGAAAAGTAAGAGGGTTAGGTATCTAAATTATCCCCCATAATTTAGAGGGGAGGGAGGGGAAGGACTGAGATGTTCAAAATTATACAAATGAGGGGGTGGCTGTGTGGGTGGGTGGGAATGGCTACTTCTCCGTTAGAAGTATCACGGCACCAGGATGCTACCAAAAGACTTCTCATGGCAGGAATGACCCTGAAGACTTCAAATCTTTAGGCCCTTTTCAGTTGTACAAGAATTTATTTAAAGCATTTAAATAAGAAAAACTCTTTGAGAGCTGCAATTAATGAGGGGAGGGGAGGGAGGGGAAGGACCGAGATGTTCAAAATTATACAAATGAGGGGGTGGCTGTGTGGGAATGGCTACTTCTTCGTTAGAAGTATCACAGCACCAGGATGCTACCAAAAGACTTCTCATGGCAGGAATGACCCTAAAAGCTCTAGATTTGCAGAGCCCCCTCCTTCCAACACCAGGGGAGAGATGGCCTGTGGGCTCCAGTCATGTCCCCCAAGGCTAGGATGTTTCTCAGAAGTCCCAAGTGGGACTTCCCATCCCTTTCCACAATCTGAGGCTGCTACTACCAGTGGCCACATAGCCTCCATTTAGTCCTCATCACAGGATAGGCAGTTCTCTCTTGTTACAAAAGGTGCGAGCTTGCAGGGTCATCTCCAACTTCCTGAAGGACTGCCCTCCCCTCGCATTCGCTTTCAGAAGGGCAGGACATTTACTCAGTAAGGAAAGCAGCGGCCCCTCCAGCTTTGCTCCATTATTTTACCTCTGACAAGTTCTGGGCTCCCAGATTACCTCCTGGTAAGACCACCACATCGTAGGGCCCCTAAAAACAAGGGGAAAAAGGTCACTGAACAATCAAGTACACCAAGATAATAAAGTTTGCAACAAAATCTCCCTTGAGAATCCAGAAGGGAAAGGGCTGGCTGAACAATCATACCTCAAAAGCATCTACCAGAGACTCTGCATCAGGTTGTAAGGAAGTGACAAAGCTGTTCAACACATTTATAAAAGGCAGAAAATATCATTATCACATTTGTGGATGACACCAAGATGGGAGAGACAGCAAACACTTCAGAGGCCAGTATCAAGATTCAGAAGGATCTTGTCAAGCTGAAATATTGGGCTAACATCTGCAAGATGGCTTTCAGGAGGGACAAATGCATAATCCTACATTTGGGTAGGGAAATCAAAGGCATGATTCTAGGATGGGAGGTGGACCAAAAGGGATCTGGAAGCTTTGTGGAACCCAAGCTCAACAGTGTGAAACAGCTGCAAAAAATCTAATCCTAGGTTGTATCAACAGTAGGGTCAAGATCAAGGAATGTCCCCGTTCTGCTATTCCACACTGGTAGGACTGCAGCTAGAATGCCGCGCCCCATTCTGGGTGTCTCATTTTAGGAAGGACGCTGACAAACTGGAGAGCGACCAA